ATTTTGTATAAAATTTGTATTTTATTTGATTTCATTCGCTGTCACTTTATTTTAAATAATTTTATCGAAGTAATAATATATTTCAAAGATAAATTATTTTAATATTTGTTATTTTATTTGATATTTAAATATTTATGTAATTTATTTATGTAATATTATGTTTCGCGTATTTTTTATCGATTTTCTTTTAGAATTATTATAATTTTAAAATTAATTTTAAAAAAATCAAAGAATTTAAATGACAAAGAATAAAATTTAAATGATGAAAACTATCAAAAATTAATCACATCATTTTTTTATTTACATAAAAAAAATTAAAAATCAGAATAATATATTGATTTAAAATAAAACTTTCATTGTATTGAACAAAAGCATCAAAATAAACAAACTCATATTTTTGTTTATATTCAAAATTTTTGCTTTAGATATTTTATTATCTCAATTACTCGATTATCATTGATCGTAATTAATTCAAAAAGTCAAGTATTATATACTTTTGATTCTCAACAGATATCAATAGATAACTGAAAGAGTTTTTGATCATATATTTCATCTTTTTTTCTATTTTTTATTCACTATTTTATACGATAAAGACTATTAATACTAATTTATCATGAAAATATAGAAGATAAAATATAATTTAATCTTTTCACTGCCACGAATTTGCTCATTATATGAGGCCAATGTCTATATTCCAACATATGAGATATGTTTATATCTCAATTCTTTATTTCATTATAAACGTGCAAATTGAACAAATTAATTTTAATATAAGTTTACTATGAATCTTTCATGTCGATTGACAACAAATATTTTTACACATAACCCTTTCATATATATATCGCTTTTGATATGAGAATATTTATTGAGTGACTATACGTTTTCTTTAGTCAGTTAAACGCTTAATGTTGAATAACTATATAGTGATTTTTTATATAAATATAATAAATTTGATGATGAATGTCTATAATTATCCTTAATATATAAATATGTTTAATATAAATGATAATATTATATGCTTATAGTCATCTTTAATAAAAGTTAATCTATTATAGTCAATGAATCAATGATATCAATTGTGGATATATAGAAAATTATTTACTTCTGAAAATTTTCACATTCATACTATTATTGAATATTTTTAAAAGAATTCTTGTCCTAGCATCTTTATCTGAATCTAAAATACCAGGAAAAATCCAAAAGCACTGACAGATATGCGGTTGGTATTCAGTTTGCTAGTCACAAAGGCAAAGCGTGTCCGCAATCCTTGTAAGTTTATCCTCTTAAGAAGCTACTTGCGGTATACTTTTATACGAGGCTCGGTCGGTACAAAAGAAAAGAGTATCAATGAAGAGAAAGCCGACTTTTAAAGATACAACTGTCTTCGACATGCATCGTTCGGGGTTATTTGCCACGAAGCACACGTGGTGTTGCGCAACTGCTCCTCACTGTGTGTTAGAAAAACAAACGATGGAAAGAGAAATAATCGACGAAACACAAAAGAGACCGTTTGAAAAATTTGTTGATCAAGTGTTACACTTATATGCGGCATTATTGAGTTCATAAGAATAATAAACAAAATGAAATGAACTATAAAGATAGATATAATTGAGTATAAAGTATTATTTAGATAAAGTTTAAATATTATTCAGAATATCTATTATTATTGCAATTCTAAGAAAAATTTAAAGAAATTATAATTATTTAATTGTGAAAAATAAACTTTTCAATAAATTTTATCTGTTACTATATTCAAATATTATTTGAATATATTTGAAAATATTAAATAAACTTAAAAAGTAAGTATTCGATTATTAAAAAAAATATTTCAATGTTAAAAATGTGAAATCCACTCGATATCAAAATTCCATTGAAAATTTCAATTCCTCAGCATTCGATAAGTAACCACGTTGCACTTTTTTCCAAATATATCCCAATAATTCTCCAAATTCCACGATAATTTCTCACTGACACAGAATTCTTTATATTCACCTTCTAACGTCTCGACATGATTCAAAGAAGTCTGAGACACTGCGTAACGATGACGAGGCATCGATGGATGCCGTAGAAAAGTAGCCTTGACGTAAACAACTTTACCAGGAATGAAAACAACGGTACTCCCCTCTCTCCAACCGGAAGAAAGAACTAGCTTGCAACTAATGTCCGTTACCGAATCTGTCGTCATTTCCGATAGATTATTAATAAAAATAGAAATTTGTTTAAAAAAAATGTAAAATATATTTTTATGTATATGTAATGATGAAATAATGATATTAATAAACGATTCAATATAATCATTCATCAATAACTATCCATATCCGTCAACTTCGATTGGAACTTGAAATCTCAATAGATTTTTTGTCTCATTCTTTTCAAACGAATATGCGATTCTCTGAATCTGACAATTAAATATTATCGTGATAATATAATGTCGTAATATTTAATTGATGCAAATATATTTTTTAAGATAGATCTGAAACTACTAGACTGTAATAAAGTTCACAAAAACTGCGAAATATTTACATGTCTAATTTTAGCTATTTTTTTTTTCTAAGTTTATTAATAATCTTTACAGGTATTTTCATCAGATTCAAAAGATTTCCAGTACTATTATTATTTTCAATGATTGATAATATTTATCAATAATTTTATATATTAACTATTAACGCCGATTTTTGAAATGGAAAAAAAAAAAAAACAACGTATCCTGCATATTATAAAAGAGACTTTTAAAAGATAGGGAATTCATGATAATCAAAGTCATGATAAAACGATTCAACGACTAGTGGCAAAGGAGACGCTGAAAAGCGGAGTATAGAGGATAAGAGTTTGATCTATGCAGAATTAACAAAAACAAAGGAAAGTGGGGATAGAAAGACGACCATCGTCGAACGAAGAATGAATAATTAAACGGCGGAACGCGATGATCGTGGATGGCAAAGATTCCATTATTATTACCCGATTCCGGTCGTAGTCTCGTAGGAAAGACTAAAAAGCCGTAACGTGGAATTTAACGAGTCTCGAACCTGCCTTCAATTAATTAAGCCAGACGTGACGCCAGTGGAATTGAAGCTCGTGCCGTGAAAACTCGTTGTCGCGAACGCTCGTCAACGGGAACTGTCCCGATTCAAGCATTCGCACCGAATTTTGGTGAATTTAACGGCATCGTCTACAGTTCAACCGATGAAGAACCAGGCAAATCGGATTCTCCTTGATAAATCCTCGTTTTTATCGTCTCCACGTTCTAAATTCCGCGCATCGGTCTTGATAAACGAGCTTTATCCAACGTCTTGTCTTTGGTAATTTGTATAACGAGAGGAGATTGATTCTTAAGGGACTGTCGCTTTGTAAGTCGAGTCGCTAATTTCTTATAATAAATAAAATATTCGAAAAGTTCGGCTCGAAAACTTTAATTATTTTAAATATCAATTAATCAAGAAAGCAAAATTAATCCTCAAAAATTGATACTTTACACAATTCTTGAAATTTTAAAATTGACTTTAAAGTTTAAGAGACGTTAAACTATAATAGAAAAGTATATATGTTTATAAACACGGCATAAATGTAGATCTGAAAGATATACATATCTGTAACAAAATTCTCTAGACGAATGGTGATTTTAAAACAATAAGAACAAAAAATATACTATTATCGTTTTTTACCGCACCTTTTGAATATTTTTTGAATCACATAACTTTAACCTTGAATTATCTTCGTTGAATATATGATAACAAATTAGAATATGTTTGTTGTGCACAATTAACCTTTATGTTTGTACATATATATATATATATATATGTATAACCTCAGTTTATATGAAATCAGGACGCGAATGAATAAAATAAAACAAATTATTACTAATAATAGTGACACAACTTTGCTTCCTCTATAATTTATAGTACTCAATTATGTTAAAAAAAAGTTTTTTTGTTTTTCAAAATATTATATTTATAATATATCTATCAAATACGATACAACAATATAAGTGGAAGTAAATATACGATCATTGATTATGCTTTCGCTTTCAATCTCACTTGTCATAAAAAAAAGCAACAAAACTGTTTTGTTGATAAATTAACTATTTATATTTTAATATAATTTGTAATAATAGTAATATAGACATTACATAAATAGATGTGTCGTGAATTTTTAGATATTTGAAACTTTTAATAACTTTATTTAGAAAAAAAAAACAATGTGCATCAACTAGTCGTTAAAAAAAAAAGGAATTGCGAAAACAAGAGTGGAGAAAGGTTTGTTAATCATGTCCGAGTCAAGGTAGTTGTGTGACGCCGTGAAAGCGACGCCGGCGAGTCGCCTCTTTCACTGGCATCGTTGCCAGTGCGACGGTCGCTAGAAAATCCATTTAATATTAACAAAAATATAGAAAAATATCTATATTGTATTTTATCATATATTATCAAACTTTTCCACTAGTTTTTTTTTTAAACATTATTATACAAACAACACTAGAAGCAATGTTAATTCACAATCGTAATGGCAACGTTGAAACTTCCTCGATGAGGTGGCATAAAATTCTCACGAAAATTCCTTGATCAATATCGCAAAAGATTAAATAATTAATTAATATTAAATTTTTTAACTACAATTAAAACGGTCGAAGACTTTATATTGTGTATGAGTGTAACTGAATATAAAAAAAATGTAATTGATTTGAATCACCACGTGACAAAACGAGTCCTTTCTACGAATACTATAAAAATGAGACAACTATTGGTCACATCTTTTGAAGCCGCCGCTCTTCGCGATCGTCGTTGATCATGCCAATAGGAGAGAGTAAATATACTATCTGGAATTGTAGCTAGTCTCATGAGGGGGCCATACGGGTACACACACAACATGCGGTATGTGGTAGCAACTGGCGCGCCACGGGTTCATTGTCCCGTGTGTGCCCGTGGTGGAAGCCCCTCGTTGAAAAGGAGGGCCCGTGTATCGGGCGTAATATGTCGACGAAATATCGGACATCATAGGGAACTTACCAGTTATCCAACTTGATCAGCTCCTCGGGTTTTTTCGTCTTATGATCAGCCTTAAGTCTGAGGGCCTGCGGATAAAGCTTCAGGACGTGTTCGAACTGACTCGCTGTGCCCTCCGCGAAGAAAGTTGCTGTGTCTTTCACGGAAGCCATTGTGATAACTGAGCTTCGACGAACGGCCGTTGGGGCGCAGCACTAACGCCTATGTGCACTATACACGTCTTTGTCGCTCCCTTTCAAGAGTCTCTATCCTCTTTCTTCTTCTCCTTCCTCTTCTATCTTCGTCCAGCGATGTCTCACTTTCTTTCCTTCTCCCTCTCTCACTTCTCCGTGCACCCCTCTCCGCGCGTGCCACGGGAGAGGACCGACCACGCGAGAAATCCTATTTTACCCTCTGACTCGTTCGAATTCTCTCGGTTTCACCGGCGGCGGTGATACGCGACACACGCGTGGGACGCGTTCACGATCGGCGCACACACAGTTGATCGGTGAGAAAGAAAATATCGACGATAGCACGAGTATAAAGCGGACTTCACTACCAGTCTCTTTCTATCTCTTTCTCCTTCTGGCTGTTTTTCGATTTCCTTGAAATATATTTCTTCACGTTTCCAGGATGATGTTCTAGCTTGATACTAGTCACAATATATTATACGTACAGAGATGTTTACACGGAACGTGATGTGTTGCAGAGCTACGAGGTCTCGTGCGTACACTCTCGTAAGGGAAAATCACCGTAGCTGCACGCCGAGAACTCGCCTTCGGACCTCGTTCGACTGTCCCGGGTGGGGAGCGCGACTCGACGTCGCCAATAGGGAGCAGCACTGCTCGGCGTGTTTCTGATTTCTCTCTTTTCCCCTTAATACCTCTCTCTCTTTCTCCGTCACGTCCTTCCACCTCTTTTCCACCACCCTTATTATTTGTACAGAAAATTTCAACCGTTGCGTGCGGGCACGCATGCACGAGGATCAACGATACGGGATAACGATAAATAATAGGATCAACTTCTATAAAAGTAATATTACAATTTTATTCTTTTAAATACGACAATAAAGGAAACGTGAAAGATACGCGGCAATCGGAACGCAAAGAACCTCCTTTCTCCTCTCAAGTCTCTGTCGAGCACTTGAGAGCACCCGGGTTTCCCTCGGCGCCAGATCCTTCTTTTTTTTCCCTCGCTCTCTCAGAGAGCTTCGTACGAATACATGCGGTTTCCCCGCCGGATGTCCGCGAAGTATAGACTGTCTCCCCCACCTCTTAGTACTCTTCGTACTCACACATCTACAGTAGAACTCTCGGAATACACACGGCTTCTAGCGTACTTCAATCGTCCGCGCGACTATACACGCGAGTTCTTCCGTAAGGGTACGTACCCCCTTTTCGCTCTATTTACTCACGATTGTTTTTGATTCTCGTATTTGCCAGGACTTGCTGTATGGACGGTTCTCATATAATTGTTTATATACCTTCGAGTCAAGCAGGAAAATTTCACGCTGAAGCGTCGACAAAATCCCGTTGACGATCTCATCGACGACAAAGATGACGGTGATGATGATGAAGACAACAAGGACAGCGATGAACGGCCGCTGTCTTTTTCCTTCGCGAGAAATGGCCTCGGTTTAACTCTATCACACGTCCACCTTCGTACGAATCACCACGTTCGATGGCTATGTACGCGCGCCTGTCTCTGCACGACTCCTCACACTGTCTGCCTATTTGGTTGAGCGCGTGTGAGTGCGCGCGCGCATACTTACGACCGACCGACCGAGCGAGCGAAAGAGCGGGCAGAACGAAGCTCGAAGCCTTCACTCGAAAAACGGGAACACACGGAGTGTAGTGCGCGCTTAAGCAAAGACCACGTATAGCCAATCGTTTGCTCTCACTGTATACTGACTGTAGTGAAACGGCCGACCGACTGAGGGCAGCGCCTTCGCTGCCTTCTGCTCGTCCCCTTTTCCTCTTACCTCTCGGGACACTGCACCACCACTAAAGCGCCCGACCCTATCTCCCCTCTACATAGATCCGCTCCCACTCATTCCCTCTCTCTCTTTCTCTCTCCTTCTAGCCTTCTATATATCTCTCTTTTATTTCTGATCTATTTTTCCTAATACGTAAAACGAAGAAATGGAAGTAATATGAAATGCATTTTATTATATATAATATTTCATTGTTGTGAAATTCGTTTGTCGTTTTGACGACAAACTGTATTATTTCTCGTGCGACCCCTCTTCGTAGACTCTCACGAGCAGCGGACGCGCTCGATACCTCCTCGTGAAGGCGCGCACCGTTCGCTCGATCGCGCTGGGTCGTCCGACTGGAAATCGATGCTAAAGCCGGGGTAGAGGCGCGCCAGTGGTGCCGTACCACGGCTGGCACACACTGTGTGCTCTAACACAACTTCGATACCGTAGTGTGTGCATTTTACGTGATCACACCGTCACACTCTATACTGAGCAAGGTTAAATAGTGTGGGTTGACGGTATGTGTACACAGGGCGGAGTTTGTGTGCAACGCGTCACGGCTACGGATATACATGTGCGCCAGAAGTGGCTCGAATACGCACAAAAGGGCATATGCGGTAAGAAGACTCTTGCAACCCTTGTGAGATATGAACATTTTGAAAAAGTCTACATGCTTTGAACTCCTAAAAGAACGATGATTGGACGATTGTAAAGTGTAGAGGGGGATAAACGTGTTTTTTATGCTTGTGGAGGAAGATCACGAGACGAATGCCGGAGCTGTTGCGAAACGAGCGATTTCACAATTTTGTAAATGCGACGACATGCGCTGTACTTCCGTGCTTACGAGCTTAAATGATCGTTTCGAATCGGCGGCGAATTGAAATTTAATTAAAAAGACTATATGAATTAGCATTTTTTTTACAATAATATATTATTATAATAATAATTTTTAGTGTTTTTTATATCAAGTAAAGTTCATAAAATTTATTATAAATTTTTGAATTATTGAAATAACTGTTGTTCTCGCAATCTGTTAATTTTGCATTTCTTCTTTTTTGCTATTGTCCGTGACTGTTGTACAAAATTATAAACAGAAAAATTTATGCTTCTTTCTTCAAAACTTTTTTTGCTACTTATATACATCTAATATATCGCGTATAAGGGTTTGTTTCTGCTATACGTGTGCATATATGTACATAGACGTAAGAGAACGGACGTTCTTTGTAATCTAATATACCCTTACACCGTCGTATATCCATGCTATGCTATGCGATAGTGTGTTGCCGTGTAATCATTCGCAAGTAAGTGTTAGTCAACGATACTGGTGTATTCGTGTATACTCTATATCGTCGGGAGATCTCGCTTCGCTGCCAGTCCATGAGTACCATAGCGAACGGCTCACTACCAATGTCAGCATTACTACTACCGATATACCGTATAGCTGTATAGTCAGTCAAGTGTACTGGTGGAAAGTGCCGAGCGAGCGCTTGCGCTTCGGTAACTTTCCATTGTCGTTGTTTCTGCACGGCAAGAACGAAGAAACTTACAGAGAATCTTTCGAAACTAGGAAATTACAAGCTGCTATCCTAACCTCAAAACATCTAAGAAACATATCATTTGAACAATTAAATTTTTCTCGATGATATTCTTTTTATTTTAGAATATATTTTCAAAATATAACGTTGAACAAAATATTTCAAATTTCAAGATTCATTATTTCTATTCAAAATTATATTATTATATCTTTATTTCAGAATATAACAATAAAAATTATTATTACTTTTAAAATTTTCTTTGTTTTTTTGCCATTTTCAACGAGAATTGTAAAGATTATAAAAATTAGAGTTTCGTTTTTACAAAATTTTGTAATTTTTGAAATTTAAGAGATTAACAACAGCCAAAAAATTGAAAACTTCGGTAAGTAGATGCACATAAACAATAGTTAAATATTGAATGCGGAAGATTATAAAGTTTAATTTATTTTTAATATTTGATTTTTTGCTTATTAAAATTATTATTAAGCACATTGTTTCAAATCCTGTAATGATAAACTATCCACAAATTAATTTAATAAAATAAAATAATTTTAATATTCTATATAAAATTCAAAAAAATTTATGTGAGAATGCAATGAAACAAATTTTAATATTTTAAAATAAAAAATGTTTAATTTAAAAAATTGTGCTTTTCAATAAGATTTTCAATAAGAAATTTTAAAATATTTTTTGTTGTTATTATTATTAAAATATGTTAAAATTAAATTAGAAAACTGATTGTTTCTATCCTTCTATCTCTAATCGTACTTTGTATGCGAAAATTTACTGTTTACATGATTTTAAATACCCATGGGACGAGGAGAATCTCGTAATTAATACGCGGGGGAATATTCGGTGGTGAGAAACGACCGATTATTGGAACTCAACCCCGTAGGCCTAGAATGAGTTGTGGGTAATGTTACGGGGGGACAGATCGAGGAGAGAAAGGCCGGTTTTCTTCTGAAGCGCGTTTTAGCAAGCAACAGAACCAGGCAGTCGGCCATAAGCCCCGCATCATGGCCGTCGACTCACCGTTATGTGCCGAGCATCGGTGAAGCCCTCGTGCCCCCTATACAAAAGAGAGAGGCCCGACCCCCTCTGTCCCTCGGGCGCTTGAAATTCAACCCCGGCACTGTCGGTCGGTGCAGGGTTGCCAGATCATATTGCGAACGCGACGTTGCAGCGCGCCGTTATCGATGCTTACCGCACACCCGGACAATCACCTAACCTCAAATTCAGCTGTAGAACGAGTGTAGCTCACTTCTGTTATCAACAACGTCAAGCTTCAGAATACTTCTAAATTGAATAAGTGGTTTTCAAAAGCACGGCGAACTATATATTTCTGAATATATTTTCTTTTCGTTATTTGTTTGTTATTTGTTTTTTATTTGATCGAATATTCGTGATTTACTAGCTATTCGTATTATTAAAATATTTTGTATTATGGAGTGTGTGGAAGTATTAAAAAAAAATGAATAAAATAAAATGAAAACTATTTCATAATAGAATTATAGTATATTTAAAGTTATATCAAGACTCTATTGCGAATGCATTATTACAGAACATATGTTTCATAGATTCTACGCCTTCCGTTGACACTTCTAAAAAGCGACCCGCTAATTATTTGTCGTCAGCAACAGGTCATACTCCCTTTTCTTCTGTCTATCCGGAAGTCAGTGTACATATAGAATAATAATATGGTATCTTATAGAATAATAAATAACATCATGCATATATATTGCATATTATATTTTTATTTTTCATAGAGAATTTTTTTTTCCTCAAATTGTATTATTTAGTGATTAAATATATTAGTTTTATATATGAATTATTGAAAAAAATAATAGTAATTTGCGATTATTAAATATTTATCAAAATATAATATAAATATAAAATGGTTTTTACACGATATTTAAAAATTCCATGATATATTTAAGCCTTTGTAAAATAGGAACAGAATTTTTATCCGACAATCATGACTGACATGAAATTGTGACTAACAAAAGAGAACAATGGAAAAATGATCGGAAGGTGTAGTCATAACTGCATAGTACCGTGTTACGGCTCAAAATACGCTTCGTATACGAACTGACTATTGCTTCGTTCGATACGAACACGTGTTCTCGATGCGGCTACTATACGATATTGTCGCAAAATGACATGTGGGCCACGGTGCGGCAGAATGTGCGCGGACGAAGCATAAGGTCTGACAGTCGAGGGACGGGCACGGAGCTCCGCTTTATCGTGAGCCAATCCGAGAGCTCTGACCTTGAGTAACTCTAGAGAGAGAGATATATTTAGCTGTGAGCAGTTCGAGGTGCTGCTAGCTAGCTCTCCCTTACACTCTAAAGTCTCTCTTTAGAGTAGATATTCGCAGCAGTGGATTATAACGAGGGAGTTTCGTCAAGGGAAACTCCAGACACAGAATTGTCCTTCCATATCTTTTTGATAGATTAGAATAGATTCAAAATTGTTACAATTACGAAGAAAGTAAGATATTAAAAGTAAAAAGTTTAAAAAAATTGATTTTTTTCTTGTGTTTTATTCGAAGTTTACGAAATTTTTAAAAAATGATTGAAATAAATAATGTCAAATTGTTACATGATATTAAAATTTTTAATTCGTTCTCCTAAAATGATATTTATCGACTTTGATGTTAAATAAAAAAAAACATATTACAATTTTTAATAAAAAATTTTTCTTCCTATCAACAAAGCAGTTCAAAATTCCTGTAAAAATTTAAAATTCTTTCGAGATAACTTTTTTCTACGAGTTACGACAAGCATAGATTATTTTCTAAATCTATTTTTTTTTTTTTTTGATTTCTTATATAAATGTTTGCCAATGTTTGATTTTTATAATATTAAGAATTTTCATTTTAAAATAATTTTAAGTATTTTCTAGTCTCCGTAGGCTATTATTACAGGACTATCTACTTATTAACAAGGATGTTGCGCGTGAGCAACTTTAAGAAGGGCGATGAAAGTAGGTCTCTGCAATAATGTTCACCATTTTTTCAAATTCCATTTTCTGTTATATCTTTGATATAATATATTGATTCATCTAAAATATAATTTGCAATTATTCTAATGATTTTTTTATTTTATTTTATATATTCAAATTAATATAATATAATAAAAACTAGAATATGAAATTAAAAATTCTCCGAAAGACACGTGGATTTTAAAATAGTTTCAAATAATATATTGATTATTACCGATGTTTTGTCGTTTTCAGGGACATTTGATTATTTTGGAATGCTGTATCGTGAACAGCTAGGTGATGATGATGAGTTTAAAACCAGTTCTCCTTGGATGCTTTGAGGGGCCAAGAGTTTCATGAGATATTCAGGATTACTCGCCCCCGTTTCCGTGAATCTTTGAAGCGTTATGAGACAATTAGGCACTTCCAAATTATAACTTACTTCCGACAACTATCTTCGTTGTTTATCTATGAATTTTCCTGCAATTTGGAATCAATTACATGTAAAAAAAAATCATAAACAGTATATGATATATTATTTCTTATAAGAAAACCATAAAATATAATTTTTTTATATAATGTAAAATAAAAGTCAAACTATTGAATGAATTACTTCATAGTACAATTTGTTCAATAGTTCCGTAATATCATCTTGTGAATTACATCTATTTGACATCAAAGTATAAATTGAATTGGGAAAATGAAGGATGGATGAACATTGTATTGACTTACAAATTCCATTATATCCATATATAACATCAATTTCATTATACAATTTAAAATGAATACTGTTTGATACCGACATAATAAATGTGATATCTCATTGCATTCATACCTGTTTACACTGAACAAAATACATTTATCAGTTAGTGATACTGCTATACTTTAGATAGCTTGATTTGCTATCTAAATCTTACAAATTTCTTTCAGAATTTTACTTGTAACGGTAACAAACAATTTAAAGAACAATCATCTTTAAAGAGACCGTGTACAACATATACTTACGAATAAAATAAAAATACGTATAATCCATCCTTTATTTTTTTCCAATTCCTGGAATTAAACGAGATACGTAACATCAGGCGATCGTGGTATTTTCAAAAAATCACGTATGTACACACTTTCTGATTCCAATGCAGATATCGGCTCGTGACATTCGAAAATCCGGCACACAGAGCAACAAGTCCTTCGGTGCAAGATCGATCCATCCGATCGATCAGAGTGGCGCGTGGCAATGCCACTTCGAATTTCCACGAGATCTATTTACACGGAACACCAATAGTTCGATGCGCAACAGGCGAACCGAGATTTCACTCTCTTACAAGAGAGTACGACACATACATATATACACACACACATATGTATATACACATATATAACGAGAGAAAGAGAAAGAGAGAAAGGGGGTAGGAGTCAGGGAGCGAGAGAACAGGTTGGAAAAAGAAGTGAGACGGAAGAAACGAGAGTGATAGGGGCGAGAAGAGAGTGAGATAGAATGCTCCAGGAATGCTAGAATGAGATGAGATACACAACACAGGAGAGATTGAGGAAGAGGGAGAATTACAAGAGAGCAAGAACAGGAGATCGACAAGAGAGAGGGATAAAGAGGATATGGGACCGAAGAGGAGGCAGAGTGAAAAAGATAGAGAGTGAGAAAGGCTACAAGTCTGTGCGGTATTCCTTTCAGTGTGATTGTCATTCATGCATTGTGAATCAGGGACTTTATTTTTAGAAGCGACTGAATGAAAGTGGAGTACCCCGTAGTAGTAGTATAATGTCAATGGTAGGAGGAAGAAGTGGTGAAGGAGGAGGAGGAGGAAGAGGAGGAGGAGGAGGAGGTGGTGGAAGAGGTGGAGAAGGAGGAGGAGGAGGAGGAACGACGAAGAGGAGGAGAATGAGGAAGAGAAGTACGCGATAGAGGAAGGGGTGCAAGAGAAAGAAAGACAGCCCATCGACGAGAAAGAGGGCGAGGGAGAGAATGAGGAAGACGTTCCACCGATCTGCGAGTAAATCGTACTACGTCCTCACACGTGCTTGCTCTCCCTCCTCCGTCACCCTTTTCCCCCTTTTCGCCACTACCACTACGATCACCACCACCCTCAGTCAACGACACAAACTGCGGGACACGCGAACGCAGAAAGCACACGCACGTGCCCACTCGGACGCGGATGTCGTTTACCTATACCCCTATGAATCGTGACGGAGAATCGGTAGAGATGGAGAGTGGCGAGATAGAACATCGAAAGGTATGTACGGTTGCTGGAAAGAATCCAGAAGAGATTATAAAGTCAGCTGATTGATTAATGTTGATACATTTACATCATGATTACTTAAACAAGAATTTTCTAATCTCTCTAGCAGATTTATAAAGAATGCAAAGCTCTGATATTCTTTAATGATATGATTTTTTTTTTAATAATAGTAATATTGCGTGAGATCTTTGGATGACCTTTTATTAGGAAAACAAATGAATTCCACATTGCAATATCCAATTATAATTGAAAATTTCACCTTCAATTTATTATTTTGCTATAAGAATCCTATTCTTTTATACTATTTATCAGTAAATTCCTCTAAAACTGTAGAAACTATGCACTAGAACGTGAAATCTCTCTAGTTTGCAATAGAATTGATTCAACATATTCTGGAATTTCTAACAGTATCACGACATATGAAAAACGCCTAACACATAACAGGGTTAAATTTCCAGATCAATCCATCCTATCGATCATAAAACAAAATAAAACCGTCCTTCCGTAATGTATCATTCACTGCGATATATCTCAATGAAAGCTTTCGAAAATTGGGTCTCGCAAGGAGATTCAGAAGATAAAGAGGCAGACAGACGAAATAACTGACGAGGTCACGGCTGACGAAAGTGAGACAAGGAAAGAGAGTGCCCGCACATACACACATACATATATACAGCGACGGCGTGCGTAAGCAACGATCCAATAAATAGTAGGATCATTGACACCGTCCGCGTGGCTGGGCTTCAACCGACGCGTCGGTTGTACTACGATGTTTACAGTTTAATTCGAGATACTCGAAATGTCACGTGCGCACGTTAGGCGTACTATTCACGATAAACGTGAGTCTTTCCGCCCGGAGGAGAGGGAACGAGAGCGGGTGTTGAGGGGATAGAAGGGGCAGATGATTTGACAAATTGCTCGTGAAATGAGTCACTGAGAACGCCTTGCGTTCATTCCCTCGTGTATTCTCTTTCGGACGTTTCTCTTCTCTCTCGTAGCTCGTAGTCGTGATACATACATACGTGTGTATATATAATATACTCAAGGTCCACCAACTACATACAACGTTCCCGTTATCTGAATTGGATTATCAAACTGCGTGCAGCCTTGACCCAGGACAAACTCTTATCTCGTATGTATGTAAACAGAACGGCATGCATTCGATTTACGTCATATATCCTGTACAGTGCCTCGAACCTGGACTGTATTGCAATGCGTCTGCACGTGATGGGATTCGATGATGTTCTTCCACTCTGTTTCGATGTCACTTGTTTCTCCAAAGAATTTCTAAATGAATAAAATATTCGTGGATTAACAGGAATACGTTTCAATATGGAATATATTTTCAGAAATTTGTTGAAAGTGATAGAAAAAAGTAAGAATGTTATATCTTCTTTTTAATCTTTACTTAATATTTTCCCTATTTTTATTACGAAAAATTTAATACAAATCTTGATTTTCTGAATTATATTTGATAAATTGAATTAAGATATATTTAAGGTATAGGAATTGATTATAGTGAAATCTTTGATTCAATAAAAAAAATTAAATAAAAATTGAATAAATTTTCGTTAAATTTAAATGATCTTTCTTTCTTAAAAAAAAAAAAAAAATAACAGTAATAAATGCAACCTGTTTCAAGCAAAGTGTGAATGAACTAGGGTTAGTTATCGGTATGCATGTAGATAAGAGTTTTCATGAATGGACGCTTATTTTTTTTTTCCTTGCCGTAATGCCATCGTGCTTACGTGAATGGATGCGATGTTAATTGTCCATACACTTTCACGAGATGAAACTCGGTTGATCCCAACATGAATAGGTGAATATTGAATAGCATGTTAGAAAAACTAAAAAAGAAAAAGAAAAAAGCTTAAAAAATATTAAGGTTAAAATATTAAACTAAAGTAAATTAAAAAGTAATTTAAAAATTTATAAAAAATAAAATTTAATAATAATTTAAATATAATGATTTATAGAGTTAGATATTAAATAATTAAATAAATATTATTATTAGATATTCCAATTTAAAAATTGGAAAAAAAAGTTCAAAAAATAAAAAATAAAATATTATAAAATATTTGTAACATTATTTTCATGATTGTTTAATAGTTGCTATAATCATTATAATTATTATCTAATCGTTTATCCTCTTCTTAAACAATCATGCAATGTTATTTAATTCTGTTCAAAGCTTTTTCAAAATCTGAAAACATATTAAATATTGATTCTTATAATATAATAGCTATATATACTTTTTTAGAAATTTTTCTAGAGTAAAGATCGAAAACATTTGTGAAATCTGAGCATAATATACACAATGTAACAGTGATCAAACATTTGTTTCGTATAAAATAATTTAATTTTTATAATGGTAGAAAAAAATGATTTTAGATTCATGATGATTCATCTGACTAATATATATATATTTTTTATATTCAATGCATTTGTTTATGTAAATAAAATATAAAATTAGAAAAATTTTTAATCTTTAATATGCTTATTCATGTAATAATATTCCAATGCAGCGATATCAGTAAATATAAAAATTTTGAGATCAATGTAATATAGGTATTTATTGATATCGAAATTGAAAAGTTCAATTATAACTTGTTGATTTAATGATTAATGATACATAATGTAAAAATATACTACAATCTAAACGCAGTGTGGATGAATGTCTGAATCATTGGCTAGAACTTGTTAAGCAAGATTGCAAGATAGTCAAGAAGCGATGTTTGCTCAGAAGAGAGACTGAAATTGAGATGAGCATAAGATCAAGTTGCATATCTCGTATTCCGGATTCTGATTTCTCTACAATCGAACAAGTAAGATTTCAAATAAAATCTCATTGACCACGAGGCGAAATGTTATCTTTTATATACTAGAATTACGCATTTGGAAGAAGTTGGGCTGTAGCGATGATAAGATAACATGTTCTCGATTGGTTCGCTAATACATATTCCATAATATGTTTCCAACACCTAAAAGTATTTAATAATATTCATTTTAAAGATAGAAATAATTATTATTTTTCTTAATAATAAATGATCAATTTTAAAAACAATTTATATTCATGAATATATTTTTGATTATCTATTTAAAAAAGTGATTGTTTTATCAGCAAATTTACTATCATTGAATATAGCAATGAATATAAATGATTTGAATTTCAAAATATATTTATCTTTATTTAAATTACTTTTAATTTCAATGTCAATCTTTTTTCATCTGTAACTTTTATACATAGTATTAATTTAATCTTCTATATTTTTAATGTTACATTATTTTAATATTTTATTAATATTTTATTTATTTTATTATTTTTAATTATTATTTATTATCAAATACTATATTGTTTTTAATAATAATAAAATTCAATAACAATGAACAGAGTGAATACTTATTAATTAACACTCTATTAATTACCAGCAATGATATAAATTACCAGTGCAAATAATTACTAAATGTGATCTTCTACCTCTATGCACTTTCTTATTTTGTCCACGCTTGAAACACGATCGTTCAATTTCAATACCAATCTTAACAACGTATTAAAAGCTGGACATCAACTGCGTTATCCGCAGGCGCGTGGAGATGAATTGATTTTTAAAATCGGCTCGTTCGACATCTCGACGACTCGTCCGTGAAGATATTGCCTTCATGCTGATCACGAGTCACCAATAACATTCGTCAGCGATAAATCGACGTTGTGCAACCATATCGTTCCATGCATCATGAAAACAAATCGCTGACGTTTGACACTGAACTCTTTCGACGACATGTGTCGATGTATGTACTATTATCGTGTGTCCTGATGACAGATTCCTTTGTGATGAACGCCTTCGATTCGCATGTTGCCCAGATAGCCGAAATGAAATTAACCCCTTGAGGGATGCGGTATTCGGTGCAGCCGCCTGAAAGAATTCACCATGAAAAGGGGGTTGAGTAAATAAAGTTAAGTGCAACAAAGGAAACATACGAGGAGATTCGTGAGTATGGAAGTTCTATTAAAAATTTTAATTGCATAATAGTGTATTTTCTTTCAAGATTCATAATACCGTTCATGAAAATAGGAAGAAGCTATTATCGCTTAAGATTTCTTATGTTGTATTTGATGCTAATTAATATTTAAGTTAATATTGAAAATTAAAATGTAATTTTAAGATATTTTCTTGTATAGTAATATTTTCTTGTATACTTGTATTCGATGTATACTTTTCGACCAATAAAAAATATGCATTTCCAATAATTAAATAGTTTAGTTTCAAAAGAAAGTCTTAATTATATATATTTTATGCAGGCAATTGTAATTACGGACTTTTTATTTAATACATAATTCTTACACGTCAATTGACGTCATTTTACGCAATGATGGATGTGAATCATTATCGATTCACACATGCTATAGGTTATTTCAATTATATCACTATTTGAGTTTCATTCACAAATTTCTCAACAAATATATTTTTCCATTTTCAAGAAAGAAATTATATAAGTATGTTTTAAAGTAATTGAAAATTTATGATAGAAACTATATACATATACCAATTATAGATAATTACATAGATAATTTTCTGTCATATTTTAAAAGCTTCATTTAACTTTCTAAATGCAATAACAAGAGAGTAATAAAAAATATATATTATATAATTAAATCCATGCAATAATATTAATATAATATAATCTTTACAATTAAAAGGAAATTAAATGCAATATTGATATATTGATCGTCAAATTTAAAAATAAAAAGAGTCAGGATCAAAATATAAAAATTTGGTATTATGAAGCAGTTAATATGATGATAAAGTTGAATAAAATTCTATAAAAAAAATTAACATGATAATTGACGAATTGCTGAATAAATGAATTCAAATCATTTCTTTTTACGTGCAAATTATAAACTTTATCGTATCTGATTGATCTATAGCTATAGATTGGCCGAATACTACCTTCGATACTGTCAATCTCGGTCGGTAATTACGAAAGTCAATTTCGCAGGTTCACTCTTCTCTTATCTACCCGACCTCTCCGAGTGGAAGTCAAGTATATTATCTCTCCTTATTGTTGCGTTTTGCTGCAGCATTGAAGACAACTAAAGGATTACATTTCGCATGATAATTCAAAACGAAATGCATTTAAGAAAATAATCTGTAGCAATTGTAATCACATGTAAGAAATATTTAAAGAATATAAAAATATTAAGATATATGAAAATATATTCTACTTATAACATACATACAATACAAAATATTATGCACAATATATATAAATTAAATAATAGTAATTATTAAAAAAAGATTTAGCATAGAATATTTAATTTCTATATTACAACGAAACTTTATCTTGAAATAACAAAAATTTTACATCAATGCGCATGCGCATTAAAACGAAACTAATAGTTTTTTAAATATTTATTAATATATATAAGATTTTATATTTAATTTTCTCTTTTAATCGATTTTTTAATAATCTATAGTTATTTCTATAAAATTATTTTTAAAATATATAAAAATACTAAGTAAAATAAGTCTGATAACTTTTTGTGATCGTAAATGTTTCACCGTTTTACTGTTCCTTCGTAGACTATCATAGTTCTGTGCCAACGCAGCACACGTAAGTAAGTACGTACTTACGTACATACGTATCAGTGGATATACTAAGATCAGACTATGGATTATAATCTCGCTCTCTCTACAAGGATGCCATGCTCCGCGGTTTGCGCTAATGAACCAGCAAGCCTTTATGATGGTTTTATTCTCTTACGTCACCAGATTCATCGGTACGGCCTCGGTTCGCACGTAACGCCGGACCTCTAGCGGCTTGTTCTGGAAGCAGGCCAGCTAGGACGCGCCAAGCTAACGAGTTTTTTTCCGGTGATAAAGGCTGACGTAAAAGTTACCCGGAAAATGGTAGGAAAATCATCGCATTCTATAGCAGAAGCTCTCTTTAAACATTTAAAACCTCTGCACTTTGAACTTTACCGCTTGCTTTCTTGAACGCTTTTCTTAGGAATATGTTATGCAATATATAACCAAACTATAAGAGGAATAATATTTTTCTCTTAAATTCTTTTAAAAATATATAATTTTATTGTACATTAAAAAATATAAAAAAAGACCAATTAATAAAAAATAGAAAATGATTTATATAATATATTTGAACTAATTTAAAGAATTGATCAATTTTTTTCTTAAATTCAAAATCATTAAATTTTATTATAATCAATCTTACTAATAAATATAATATAAAATATTTATAAATATGATTGCAGCAATACTATCTTACCTGTTCAGCGAGAATTGCATAAAGTTCTTTAGGGTTTCCCGTATCCTTTTTGCACCTGCCGGATCCGTTCTGGCTCCGCAGGTGCTTAGGAAAGTGCAGGACGTGATCACTCACACTCTTATGTTCGCAAAGGCTGTTCCTTCTCTACACTTAAATATTATCTTCTTATTACTTATATGTCTATATGAAGCACACCTGTCGTTTTTACTTCTTTTATTTTTATACAAAATAAGTTTTATGGAAAACTTTTAGTTTTTCTAAATTTATATATTTTCAAAATTTCCTACTAACGTATTTATTATCAAATCACAGAACGATTAGAATAAAAAAATTCTTGAATTTTTTTTTAGTTTCTCGAAGATAACCTAACTCTTCTTTCACGAAAATGAAATGGAAATTCGTTAATTATATTTCAAAGTTTTTAAATTAGTGCTTAATTTAAAAATTATTCTTTATATTATTTAATAACAAAATTTATAGTTTCCTACAAGTATAAAATAAAAGATAACCTAATTTAGATTTAAAACTATTTTTTCATGAATCGAATATATCAATGTGATTGGAACTTTATTTTAATCGTAACTATTTTGAATTTTTCTTGAAATATATAATAATTTTTTATAACCTTTCTGTATTATAATCACATT